TTTGACCCTTTCTCAGACCAAAATGTCAGGTGATGCTTCTCCTTCTGCCAAGGAGGCTTGTTATAAACTAAAGATGTTCCAAAGTAGCTCGGATTGTGAAAATATATCATGGAGGAGAACTGGTTTAATTCATAAACAGCCATGGAATTCTGTTCTTGTAGCATGGGGGTAATAATCTGTGTTACATGATTCAAACTGTGAGACAATGTCTTTCACTAGGAGATTTTAAAAGTATGACTTACTTACTTTTTTGGCACTCCAAAATGATCAGTAAGTTCTTAAATCTCAGAAGTGGTACTGAAAAATGGAGAACCCTAAAATGTCTTCATACAACACAACAGATCTGAGTATCTTGACCCAGTAGACCCAACACCTGTTGAAGGAACCTAAACTTTCACATCAGAGTTTGTGCTCCTAAAACACTTAGCAAAGCTCAGCTGAAACTTAAATCCAGACTTTGGACAGATGGCCGCTTCACATCAAAGTTTATTTTCTGGGAGTTTGCTGTACACTTTCCATGGATACTCAAAAGAGTCATTCCTTGATATTGCGAGGTTAGCCCGTCAGTAATCTTCAGAGTTTCCATCTCAGTTGCCAAACCCTATGAATCCATTTAGCCTCCTGTTGACCCACGTTTGTGAACACTGCAGGGTAAATTTCATCACATAGCAGGGATTTACTATCCCCTGAGTTGCCAGTAGTTGTCTCTGAATTGTCCTATTTTATAGCGACAAGGTTCACTGACATTAAGAATAAACCAGGCTGAAAAACCTTATAAGTAGTTTCTTCAAGACTCCTGGGATATGTATCCCACCTTCTCAGGTCACTTGATAACCATACTGCTAACCAGGGTGCTTTTGATAGAAACATGCTGAATTGTCAGAGTTGAAACTTTCCAATGTAAGTTCCAGCTACACTTTTCACCAGGTTGTGGATGAAATTTCCAACCGAATGATGAGACCAGTCCCTGCCTCCCCATGACGTTCCAGCACTGCCAGTAACACAAAAGTGGTTAAAGACCTCATTTGCAATGACAGAGACCCAGGCCTTCCATCTGCCTAATCAGATCAAGGTGTTAAGCCTAGATCACCTGTGTGTTGGATGATCATCAGCCTTTCCTCCTCCATCTTTCCAGTTGGAAGTATTCTGCTTTCTAAAATATAACTAGATACTAACTGAGTAGAGAGATACAAAGGAACTCATTAAAAAATAGAGAAGCAAATGAAATTGCGTTTTTTCGGCACCAAATACTGCTGACAATTTCTCCAGTGACAAGCTTGGTCCATATTGCTCTTGCTTGAACATCTCTTTACATTGCATTTGGAAAAAGAATGGGTTCAGATGTTCTCTTAAATTTATTTATATAGTCATGTGGCATTGTGGTGCTGTCTGTAGGTACGGAGTATATGGACCTGAGCCATGCTGGTGATTGACATCTGTGAGTAGACATCTATTCAAACCTGCTGAGACTTTACCTGGATTTCAGAGGATTTGTCAGAAACAGAGCTAAACCTCAGCATAAGATTCATCAGGAATACAAGTCCTCACAGGCAGCTGAGTAGCTGAAGGAACTCAAATAAAAGCAACAAAAATATAAAGACAGACTGACAAGTTAAGAAAAGAATTACAAAAGCTTCATTGGCTAGGAGACAACAGGTGAAGGGCATGCTTGTTCCAGTTTATTCGAGGCATGAAACACCAGCTAGCATAAAGTATATTTGAAGATGAAATAATTGTGAGGATTACTTCTTACTGATGGCTCAAATCAAATGCATGCTACCTATCAAAATGAAGTGTATAGAGAGCAAAGTAACAAACAAAATATGGGATAGCTAAGCAACAGAATAAGGGAGGCTGTTAGAAGAAAGAAGACATACTCCTAAAAAAGGTGAATATGTGTGAAATAAAGAAAAAAGAAGAGAACAATCTCCAAGAAATTACATATGAGATGCAAAAAGATGAATCTAAAAAGGATTTTGGGATCAACTTATAGCATAACAACAATAATAAATTACCTAATATGAATGCCCTACAGAGATTTAGTAGACCAGTAGACAGTGAATGTGTGAAAGTAGCAGTAAGAAAAGGTAAAAGCAGAGTAAAAGGCAAATGACTTTTTATTTTCCATTTTTATTCACCACGATACTTTGGCTGCCTCATTTCCAGTGTCAAAAATAGAACAAATTAAGAAATATCAGGAAAACAAAAAAAAGAAGACAGTGTCTCATACTGGCCCACAAAGGGTTCTAAAGAAAGGCAAGTTTGAAATAATGGATCTCCTAGCTGTGGTGTGCGAGCTCTCATTTACACTTGCCTTTGCTTTAGAGAAATGGGAAGCTGCAAAGGTGATGGCAATTGTTAACAAAATTCTACAAGGCGGGACAAGTTTAGAAATGTGTACCCAGGAAGCTTGGTAGAGCTTACAATAAGATCATGACATGAATAAATATAACTTACTAATTTAGAGGGGAATAATCCAAAAAGCTTTGTGACAGGAAGATAAAGCTACTAGTGTTCTTTGAAGGAGTCAGAAGCATGTAGAAAAGGGAGAATTGATTGATGAAATATGTCTGGATTTCATAAATACATTCAACAAAGTCCTTCACAAAAGCCTGTTAGAGAACCTATTGTGAGATAGGTAAGACTTTAATATATATACCTGGCTAAAAGATAGGAACAATTAGTAGGAAATAGTGGTCAGCTCCTGAATATTTGCCAGTGGGCTTTCAGAGTAATCTCTGCTTGTGCTTGGGCAGTGCAACATACATATAAATGACCTTGATGTCCAGCAGAAGTACAAACCTGCTCACCAGCCTAGACAGGACTACGTAGGGTAAAAATGGAAGCTTACTGTAAAGATTTGCAGAAGCAATAAATCAGTTCCAAAATACTCACAAAAAAAAAAGCCAGATGGAATTCAGTGTTGATAAATCAGAGGTAATGCACCTAAGAAAAAGCCTTCTTCAATTAACATACATAATGATATGCTCTTCAAATGTGTGCTTACCTATTATCCTTTAGGAAAGAGATCTTGGAAGGGTGGCAGGCAGTTCTATAAAAAGCAACTCGATGTTCAGTAACAGTCAAAAAAACCCCACCTTTGTTTGAATTTGAGAGCTATTTAGAGAGGAATAGAGAACAAGAAAAGAAAACGTCCTTATGCTATTTTGTAAATCTATGGCACAAACACATCTTGAATAATGCATGCTGTTCAAGATTTTCTATCTTAATAAATGTCTGGTAGAGTTTCTACTGTAGTTGCAAGTGGATGTACACAAGACCTAGAATCATAAAAAGCCATAAACACACTACTGAGCACACAAACTTTCTCAAGTTAAAAATAAGCAGTAAAGAAGTGTTGTGATCCAAAAGCCAGTTTAGTGTTTCTAGCTATAGAAGTAAGGTGAATTAAAAAATTGGAGCTACCTAAAAACCTTGTCTTGCCTAATCTAGAACTAGAAAAGGTATAAAGAAGCTTACAGGGTATGGTATGGCACCAATACAAAGATAAAATAAACAGATCTGATTTATACAATTGATACCTACCAGTGGCTTGGGAGATTGTGATCACTGCTGAGGTGTGGAGGTGGGTTAAGAAACAATGGTGACCAGCTTTGAGAGAGTCACAATGTTAGGGGTCACAATGCCATTGTTAAGTAATCCAGGTCAGAACTGTAACGGCTCTCCCATGTTTGGGGTTCAGCATATGGTGCAGCTTTTACACATGGTCAAAGGATTCCATACTGATGTCCCAAAACCTGAGGTTTTGAAGAGTGGAGCATCAACTCCACCATCAGCTCTCTCCCTGGAGGGATTCTATTCTTACTCAAGCATTGATTTGAAGCACAAGTGCTCTGGCTTTAGGAGGATTTCCTGATTCTCTTTCTTACATATGTATTTTTTCAGAGAGCATTGTTCTTGAATGGAGTGCTTTAAAATGAATCTACAGGTAAAAATTCTGTTCAACTTTTTGACAAATGGCTCTAACTCAGCATTTAACTCCAAAGGGCCAGGAAATGAAAATATGGACCCATTCCTCAATAATGATTAATTTCCTGTCACTATTTTCCTTACTTCAAGAGTTTGGAAAGTTCGAAAAATCTTGCAAGGTTGATTAAAGAGTAATTTGGAAGTGAGATGGGGGGAGGCAGGTGAAGGAAAGGGACAGAAGACTACTTCTGAACACTAAAAATAGCTTCAAATTCCCGCCAAGAAATGACAAATTATTATATACACAGTCAGACATGGAGATGTATATTTTGTTTTAAATTCCAGTTTCAAAATGTACTGCATAAAAAGAAACCACAAATTGAAACTCCATGTGCTCATATTGGCAGCAACACCAAAATTAAGGTTTTTTCTAAATATAACCCCCCCAAAACCTACCTCAACCTTCCTCCACCTCCTGCCCACTCTTTTATAAGTAAGAACAGAGTGTTTTGGTTTCTCAGTGACTTTTTTCCATTTCTTTGAGTTACTAGTGAAGGGCCAAGCTCTCAGAACCTTACTCAGGTAACATTTCCATTGGTTTCAATGGGAGGTTTGCCCATGCAAGATCTGCAGTATTTTTCCTGGTATTTATATGAAATGAAGGAATGTGTGACAGAAATGAGGATCAGTCTTTGCAAGAGAGCGAGAAGAAAATGCTATTTTATAAAGGGATGGAGGGTAAGGAAGGAGGATAAAACTTAACCTCTCTTCCATCTCTGTAATTTCTCCCTCTTAAACAGAAAGGCTTTTGAATTTGAGTGAAATATCTAAAGAGAATTAATTTTGAGGACTCAGTCCAGGTCATAGGAAACAAGCCACATCAAAAAAACCCAAATAAATCATGTCTAATTTAAGCAAAACTGTACCAGAGACTGAAGACAAACCAGTCCTTTCAGCTTTCAGAAAAGAAACCAACATCAAAAGAAGAACCCAAAGTAGAAGCCTAAAAATGTAAATTTGTTGGTCTTTTCACACTCAAATTCTCACGCTTTTTCCATTTCTTTTTACAGAAGAAGAATGTGGTCAGACGTAGGGGAATGACTTAACAGCTTTTATTAAAAGGTAACTTAGTCAACTTAGTCCTCCTATGGATAACTGCAGAATCATTATAAAGAAGATTAAACATTTATGATCTGTCCCAGTTTGAATACTGTGGCTTGGAAGTTTTGACTCATGAGGTGTTAATTTCCCAGTCTGATTACATGAAAATGTATAAATATGAGCACTTATGAGGAAAAGACATATCCTGCTGGAAGCTGGATGGTGTTGAGTTACCTCCACTTCTATGAGGAGCATAGGAAAAAAGCTCCTATCATGTTAAGTGGTACTGCATACAGTAGAAAGTGTCAGATACATGCAAAGGAGTGCTACCACCTCTGTTTTACTAGGTATTGAGGTGAGGAACAAATGTGTTAAATGACTTTGCTGCGAGGTCCTGTGTGAGGAAGGGCTTGATCTCCACTTGGTCCAGCCCAATGAAGGCAGCTGGGCTGAGGGCACTCAGTGCTGGGTGTAAAGTGTCAAAACTTGGGTGGTGGAAGTGCCACCATGTTTGACTGTGTGTACAAAAGCCATGTTCGTTTTCAAGTGTCCAAGCTGGATGGCTTGGGACTTACAGAGACTCTAATCAGAGAGAGACGGGAATCATATTGTGTTATAGGTAGAGTTACTCTGAAGGAAACGAGGTGTTTCCCGCTATTGTCCTCAAAAAAGTATCAGAGAAACAGAAATTATTTGCCACAACAACATTAAGGAAAACCCTCTTAAGCCACTGGAACAATACAATGTAGAGAAATGTGAATGAATTGTTATATTTAGTAGCTCCTAAGAAATGCTCTGCCAACAGTCCTCTGAATCACTCTGCCTGGAAACTACCTGAGTGCTGCCTTATTTCTAGACATCTGTCAGCACAGTTATTAGCTAGCAACAAGCATAACATGAAAATAATCATTCTATTTAGGGCAGGAACAATAGCTAATTGACTGACATGAAATTGCATCAATATTATCTCCTGTTGCCTTTTTGATAATCCATTGAAGAACAGTTTGTGTCTTCCAGGGTGGAAAACTGTAGTTGTTTCCTAGCAGAAACCACACATCAAGAAGTTTTCCCTAATGGCTACCTAATTTTTTGTAAATATAAATTATAACGCTTTCCAAGCATTGACATTTCATAACCTGTTTTTCTTTTTTCCAAGGTTCCACCTTCTTCAGAATGCAGATTGATACATTTGGTACAGTAGTAGAATAACAGCTGGATACCTGAAATTCTGTTCATAGCCTTTGCAGACCAATTTTGAAATGCTAGGCTGATAAAGGTATTGAGGCACCTGAAAGATGTAAATAGGTGCTTCTTAGGTATCTAATTGACACTGAAGCTAATAGGAATTAGGTATCTTTCATGGACTTCTAAAAAATTATGTAGGACTATGGTAGCAACAAAAGCTACAAAATAACTCTAAAATTCCAGCCTTTTCTGATGTCTTTCCAGAACCAGTCATTTTTATAATGTAAATTTTCCCAAAATTTTCATTTCTGTGAGACCCTGTTATTCCCATCCTAGCTGAAAAACCTCCTCATACAGTACATTAATGCCTCCAAACTCATCTTTGTTTATAGGCTACTCTCAAATATCACTTAAACACTTCATGGAACTTAGAAGCTTTTCTATGTGATCAGAAGATCATAGTCTAATGCCTGAGTGTACAATCTAGGAGATTTTTCTCACCCTACCATTCCAATTTTCAGAAAGCACCGACTTGCTTTGGAAGATCACATCTTTGCGTTAAAAGTCTTAAAAACACAATCCGAGCTCTTCTGAAAAAGTATCTTTGGGAACACGAGGGGGTGTGTGAGTATCTTCAAAGCTGTAGTTTGACTAACCCAGCCGCTGCTTAAATCATCAAACAGGCATGCATTTGGGACACAGAGGCACTACAGTCCTGGCGTATTCAGCCCAGAATCCTCATGGTTATGTGAATAATTATCCCTTCATACCGGCCTAGAAATCTTGGACAGAATTAGCAATCACAGCAAGGGTGCTAAGAAATAATTTGTACCATACATCTGTTAGTGTCCCTTAGCCCAGCTGGAATTTACATGCTTTCCTCTCTATCTTGGGTTTCTCAAATTGTGTTGATGTGTATTTAAGCCGCATGAACATTTGAGGCGGTCACGCAGGGGGGAGATGCAAACTCTGCTGGTACTTTGATTCCAAATCTCTTATCAGGACGGGTAAGGAAAGAACACGTCAGTGGCATTTGGTCTCCTGGTCTAAGTTTCTCTGGCTAACACACAATGTGGTGGGTGAAAAGTGTGAGGTCAAGGCCATCACAAGTGTGGAAGAACTCACAGACGACTCAGGCAAGCATTCTCCAACAGGTATCACATGATATCCCAACTGGATACAACTGATATTGATTTTTTTGAGCTGTTAACTAAAAGAATAGTTTTGTGCTTTACCCCATCTTGTCTTTGAGAAGGAGAAATAAAGTCCCTAAATCATTTCAATCACTAATGCTTTACTCTTTATTTTCCTCCTTTTTGCTGTTGCAACCATGGACTGTCATGAAAGTGTTATTTAAAGTCATAAAGATGTAAGAAGGGGAGAGCAGAATGAAGTACCTCATGTTTGGCCCTGCTTTGGCCAGGTGGTTGAGCTAGAGATCTCCTGACATCTCTTCTGACCTGCAGCAACCAATTATCCTGTAAGACTGTGGAAGCCTGAACTTTCAAGCCTATTTTAATATTAGAAATTACAGAGTTTTCTTTTTTTTGGATGCATTCTGTTTAGCCTCTTGCTTTACTTATGATCATATCATATTTACACTTAACAAGCTTTGTCTCATTCACCCTTCCCTCTCCTCTCCTTTACTCAAATGCCATAAACTCTTCCCACACCATATATTTTTGTTTTACTCCAGAATTATGCAATTCAGCTGGGATTTGCTTTGGACTGCTTCCAAATACACCCACACCACTGCTCTGAAAGTGATGAGGTTTATCCGAAGATGGACTTGGCAAGTCTGTGCTTCAAAGGGCTACTGATCCAAAGTGCTTCAGGAAGACTTTAAGACACACAAATAAAACCACAAAGCAATAAAATATAAGGTCACAAACAGTGTCTGTATTTAAATGTTTAGAAGAGTTGAAGCCGGTAGATAATTCTGCATTACAAAACTTGTCTGAAAATGGCTACTTCTCCACCAGTGAACCAATATCAGTCAGTTTAATGGCAGCTGACTGCTTGCAGGCTGTGAGCATTCAGGGTTCCATGATGTTGAAGAATGTCCATGTCTTTTCTTCAGCACAAAATTGGAATTTGATTCAACAAGGTTACAGGCAGTCAGAGGAATCTTTAACACGCTGTTGACTGATTTTTTTCCAACTGTAAATGCATTAAACATGCTCTGGAGAGGCTGTACTGTCCATGGGTAAGTCTATGAATTTAGAGACCTAGTTTTAATCTTGGCCTGCTCCATAGCCTTGACTGAGTTGCCTTTCTTCTCCATATACCCTTCTAGAAAATGAGGGTCCCCAGTACAGCTCTCCATTGTAGAAGCACTCAAAGAGCTACTGATGAGAACTGCAATGAAATGACTGGGATTTTGTTTCTGCCAGGGCACTAATTCCAAAACCCACACCCAAATTCATGAAATTACCTTTTAAATGATGAGACAGAATCATTCTTTTTTTGTGATATTCCCTGCATTTACCTCCCTTGGGTAGCAACAGTGGAAAGTACTGGCGAGGAGAGCAGCCAGTAGACAAGGCCTTATTTGCCCAGGTTTTAGGGCTTTGCCTGTGTCAGTGATGCAAGGATACCGGTCTCCTTCAAGAGGTGTGGTTTATCAGTGGAGCATTTGCTGTGGTTCAGACGTCAGGCTAATGGTCTCACATACAGATTCTGTAAGATGCCTTTCATTCATCCTGCCAAACAGGAGCTGTGCCTGTGATGCTTTCCCAAACTGAAAGGCATTGCTCTATGAATGCAAGCAATGTTAAAGCCTGAATAATGCACACAGTCTTCCACTGGCAAAATGCTTCCACCTCTCCCTTTGCCCTCCCCCACCATGTGGTTTAGCTTTTGGCTCTGCAATAGATACTCTGAATCAATGTTAGCTTTTTGAGAGGCTAACACTGAACACTGGAAGTCTGAGTCCAATCCAGCCGTATTACAAGTCTGTTGTTTAATTGTTGTTTGTTTGGGGATTTTTTTCCACCGAAGCTTTATGGTGTTTTAACACCTCTATTTTTTCACTTGGTGGCCCGAAAACATTCATATACTAATCAATCCAAACAGGAAACAAAAAATTCAATGGGAAAATGGGATATTGTTCAACATACATATGTTTGTCCCAGCTTTAGCCCAAGAAAGGGTAAGCATCTAGAAATGGAAAGATGAAGGACATGAAAAAGATCCAGATCATGCAGCTTACAGAGCTACATGCAGTGTAACAACAACTGGCAGGAACCGTGAAGCACAGTCCTGATCTGAGGTATATTTCAGCTTTCAACTCAGCAAAATGCCAGTTTCTGCACAAGTAAAAACTTGTCCTTTTTACCAGGCAGTAATAAGATATTTGTGGTGGGTTTTATGGTGCAAGCCACTGTCTGCTTAATACAAGCTGAAGGCCATTACCCTCATTTCTGTCCTGAGTCAAGCCACAACACATCTCCACACCAAGCTCCCAGAGTTCAAGACTGGTGCCAGGCTGTCCGCAAAGACCGCCAAGGGCCATTTCAAGGTTCATTTGCTCAGAATGACCCTATTGCATGGCATGGCCTGGAAACCACTTTATACCATGCTCTGTTCACCTGGATCAACGACACACTTATGAGACCTAAAAATGTGAAAGGAGAAATACAGCCGTGCATCAGTCTGGCTCTAGTGAAGTCAACGTTTATGCACATGCATCTGTGAAACAGCAATCTCCAAACCTCAGAATCCACTAATTCTGATGGCTCAACCGAAATCAATATGATTATTGGGAGGTACTGTGAATTTTCAAGGTATATCATTATTAGGAAGGATGCGGATTTGCTCTGGGATCAGAGCTGCTGAAAGCTACAAGAATCTTAAACCCCTCTGATGTTATCAGGACTGTCTCTCTGGTCTTCCAAACTCCGTGTGCATGGAGTGAAGAGGACCACACTAGTTCAACCTTACTTGTCACTGATAATCTGTGTGATGTAGCTGTCCCCATCCCAGGCAAATACTGGACTCAGATGGAACCCAGAATGGTTTATCCAAGAGACGGCAGATGAAGTCAGTTGAGCTACTTTGGGGAACAGAAAGATCTGTTCTGTATAAAACACATCTTGTGGTTTATAGCATACTTTACTACGTCCAGTATTTTCTTGAACGTGATAGCTCTGTATTACTCTATACAGTCCTGCCCACATCTCTGGGGCTCCTTAGTTTCATGCAAACTTAGGACAAGACCATGATCTCCACAGTACTGCACTTGCATTTGAAGAAAACAGTTTATATCCACTCTCACTCTAGACAGAGATTACAAGGTGCTGTGAAATTCAGGGATTTTTCCACTTATTAGGATGCTTCTTTTGCTATTCTCGTTACAGGGATGCACCCTAGAGGATGCACCTCAAATTTCCTTGCTTCTCCCCATTTTACTGTTCAAGGTCTCTCTGAAAACCTTCATGTTTAATTAACTTAAAGCATTCCCTCAAACATCCTAATCCTTGACTCCATGCCTATGCTCCTAGACCTTTCTTCCTATACATTTCCATGGGATCTTGGAGGCCGCTTTTTAACTTCTTTATACAGTGTCTTCATCCTCTGCTCTATTTATCCATCACCCCATCACCCAGAGTGTCAGCTCCAGCAGGACCTGAACAAAACTGAGGTAGAATGTGAAGGAAATGTTTTTGCTAGGTATAAATGATGGTCATAAGAGAGGACACGGGCCTAGGGATTCCATGAAGTGCCATGCAGAAATACCTGAGCTAGCTGGGAACATGCTAGCTCAGGTTACAGAAGCAAAGTGTACACACATTAGCAGAAATACTGGAATTACCTGGGTGTGGTTTTCACAGATTATCCTGTTCAACCCAAATAGAGAATTACTGTGAAGCTGATGTAGCCAAAAAGTGATCATTTCATTGCACTTTTAAAGCCCAAAGCTGGGTTTTTCTAAGCTTTGACTTCTTTTTTTCTTCCTTAACAAATTATTCACTATGAATAGTACATTTTATACAAGTGAAACTTGTAGAGCAGCCATGAATATGCTGATGCTATTACTGCCCTCCCTAGCGACCCCAAAGTATTGATGGCAGAGTCAGAGAAGAAGAAATAACAGTGAAAGGGCTGAGGTGAATATTTCTGCTTGTCTGGTCCTCAGGAAAAGTGGTTGGTGTAATTGAACAAAGGGGAATAAGAAAAAATATTCTGCTGCTTCAAGTAGGCTACTGAGAATCAAGAGAAATCATTACGTGACCTTATGTCTCTAAATTATGGGAGCCCACTTGTCTCTCATACTCCTTCTGTGTTAGCAGGGTTCCCCCAGTCCACATTCCTATAAAGATGATGAAGATCCGGAACTTAATCCCTTCATGCACATCCATCTGGATCTCTCTGAGAGGTACTTATGTAGCCCCATTGCCTTAGTTTATCTCACAAGTGTTTTGTAGATTTGATGAAACTCCAACATTTATTTTGGAAATGGCTGGAGTAGAAGACTCTGCAGTATATCCAAGGAAGTCTGTGGAGGGAATCAATTTCTCAGTTTAAACCAAGGTCTCTCAAATCTCAGATTAGCACTTCAGCTTCTACGGGGTTCTCCTTCCCTACCTCAGTTTCCCCTGCACAAAGGAAATTACCTCCATAGAGGAACCAATGTAATTGCTGCAGACTCAGCCATAATAAATTCACAAAGCAAGCACTCTGAAACAAGCACCTTTATTCTCAGATAATACATTGGTCTAGGATACTGGACAGGAAGTGCCACAGAGTTGTTGCTCAAAGCGTCAGTGATTTCCTCATGAGAAACCTCATGAGAGGGCCGTGACAGCCCATCAGCATAGAGGTGCTTCATTTCCTTCATGAAAACATAGAAAAACAAGGGATACAGATGGATTGTGCTGAAATGGGGAGACTACCTAAACAGGATGAGGTTAATTTGGGTAGTGAGACGAGGTCATGAAGCCTGATGCAGAACAGAGCTGCCTGTCAGCCGCGCAGGCTGAGCTGATACCTCTACACCAGGATGCAGGGTATCCACATGCGGGAGCTGCTCAGCCCAGCACCAGGCTTGCCTCCTTGCAGTCGTTTGCATTTTGCCAGCAGCACAGACATTAAGAAGTTCCTTAAGCTTCCAGAAAGAAGATAAACATGGCTTTCAATGCAGATTAAAATACACACGCA